TCAGCTTTGCACCGAGTGAAACTCTGAGTCGTTTATTTTTTAAATTCTAAAAATTTTCAATTTCGTTATTATCCTTTCCATAACAGTGCAGATAAACAAAGTATCAGAAAACTTCTGTCTTTCCTCCATTTTCTTCATCGCGGATTTATCAGCTTTGCAACGAGTGAAACCTCGAGCCACTCATTTGTCAAATTTTAAAATCAAACTCCAAAAATCAAGATGAAGAAATCGAGAAAACATTCGTATCGTGCGTTCATTTTGAAATCTGTGGTCGAATAAACAATAAACATTCGTCTAAACGCTTGGAACAATCACGCGTGCTTTTGAAATGAATTTTACTCAAAGGCCTTTTTCTCAGAAATTTGTTTCAAACATAAGAAGACGAAGCACTAGAATTTAAAAGAAAAAAGAAAAGGAATTGCGAAAAGGTGTAGGGTTAATCACTTTAAGCTCGAGCATCGGGGAAACGAAAATGTCGATAGTCCAGCAGCAAAATCTGATAAATTATCCACCCCCGTTACTATATATGTACTACGGAGATATTCTCTCTGATCCACACGGCTGGTAATCCGATATAACGATTTAAGTTCTCGGCTGGAAGCTCGGCTGGCTTTAACTGACTGTACGGTGTAACTATAGTAGACAGCCGTCCATTGGTTAACCGCTGGTTACACCAGCGAACTTTCTATGAAAGTTTGTCCTCTCTCTCTCTCTATCTATCTATCTATCTCGTCGACGAACACACAGAGAAGAGAGAGAGAGAGAGAGACCCAGTTTCGCGGCTACGAGAATTTTCTTGCAAAGGAACTTCAAAGGAAACTTCATGCTCGCGAGCAAGGACTAAAGTGCCATTAGGCTCATTAAAGTGTATTTAATGTCTCAGGTTCGCGGAAGAGGCCAAAACCGAAGCAGGTAATCCTGATTGAGAGCAGCCTAAGAGAGAGAAAGAGAGAGGTCTTAACGTGGTTGTCCGATCGACGCTTGGAAAATAATTACGAGCAGAAGCTTTGATCGTTCTTCTCGCCCTCGCGGGCGTTAAATTATCATCGATCTCGATGCCGCCGGTGGAACGACTAAGGGCAAAAAGGGGGCGGATATAATAACGCGAAGAAACGAATAGGAAAAGGAACGGGGAGCAAGAATTAGAGGGTGAGACGTGGTGCATATACAGGGTGTTTTCTATTTCTCTGGATTGACTTCTACAAGTATAACCATCATAGTAAAAGGTCAATCGTAGAATTTATAAATCAAGGTTGAACGACATGGGAATTCGTCGTTGCAAAATGTGGCAAATCATAGTATAATACAGTCATAAGTGACTACTCAGGAGGAATTAAGACGAGAGTTGAACAACTTATTATTGCGATTGAAATTATTTAGTGAAATTCTCATTAAAAAGAAAAGACAGTAGATTCGTCAATGTTGAGTTTGTCGTCAACAAACAATGATCGTTACTTGTAACGAAGATAAACCATTTTGTGCAAGATTTTTTCTCTCCCCGTTTTCGCTTCTTAGATTATACCTAGAGAGCTAGAGTTTAGGAAACACCCTGTGTACACGCTTGCACGCGAAACGACCGAATGAAACGGAAAGAACGGAGGGTTTCGACGTCGTAAATCTTTCGATTGCTATCGAACGTTATCGATAACTTCTGGATAAATGAATTTATGCGGCCCCGTGTGCTCGTAAATAGCGGCGCGGTCGCTCGTCTTATTGCGCCGATCGGATGTCGTTCGGTTGTCTATTTGCTGCCCGGGTATATCTGGCTCAATTGTCGCGATCGCGTGTCGATACTCGTTCCCCCGCTCAGTAAGTAACTCGTTAAACGCGATTCTACAACACTTTTCACGGTAATACAATCTTGGAAATAAAATAGAAATGAATTCTTCCGCGACGGAACGATATTTCTTTCTTTTTTTTTTTTTTTTCTTTCTTTCGAATAGAAAACACGACACTTTCCATTCCGCGCGAGACACGATCTGTTGTCATAGGAAGGTTTATAAGCCAAACGTCCTGCGTAGTCGTTTTATTGAAATATAGAGGTAATTTTATAGACTTACAATTTTATATGTATCTTTCATTTTAATTGTTTCAGCGCAATTTTATGATCTAATCGTCGAAAGTTCCAGCGTTAAGGAAATAATCTGTAAAATATCTTGCTACGTACGGAGAATCCGGCAACCTCGAATACATAGAGTGAATAAAAAAAAAAAGGGTGGATGGTACTCGCCAAAACATGAAAAAAAGTTCTAATAAACGTGGGTCGAAAAATTAACAGTGTCAAAGTTAGAAACGATTTTGTTGTTGATTTTGTGATTTGAATGCTTGTGAAAAAGTTAGAAAATTAGTTCTTTAATACGAAGGTGTCAAGCGTGCATAGAAATAGGAGAAGGACACGTAGGAAATCTTCTGTAATCAGAAAAAGAGAAAATTATAAATCACTATTGTTAGATGCAGTACGATGGCTCTCGAAGCGAAGAAAACCGCAATAAAAAATCGTTTATAACTTTGAAACTATTAATTTCTCGACCTATGTTTATTAAAAAAAAACTTTTCTTCGCGTTTCGACGAGTATTATCTATCCTAGAAATTATGAATTCTCTTTCCAATTTAATTTAAGAATTTTTTTAATTCTTCATTCACCCCGTGCATACCTCAGGAACCAGATTTTTAAATTTCTCTCTCGGTGAATAACTGAAGGAAAAATATCGCACGTGTTAAGAAAATTAAGTGTACCTAACTAAATAGTGATGAAAAAAAAAAAAATGAAACGCACAGCGATCGATACATGCCGCGTAGAATAGAAGCAAGAGAAAAAAATGAAGAATCCATTCGCGTGACAAAATGAAATTAAAAAGACCCTGGAAACGAAATCCTCGCGATAGAAATCTAACGTGGCGGGTTCCTCCTCGTGCAAACCAGCAAACTCGTTTCCTAATAAAATAATAAAATCCCCTTTTCTCGCGGCTGGTAGGACATGACCGTGCATACGTAGTCGCGTGCTTGCATATATATATGCACGGAGAATGGCGAGAAGGAGGGAGGAAGGAGTTAAAAAGAGGCGAGAACAACTCAGGAGGGTCCAGGGGGAAAAAGGACAAGGTGGAAGTAAGGTAGAGTAAGTAACGGCCGTGGATCGAAGCACACGTGGTCGAACACGTGTCTGCGTGGAAGGATTGTTGTTCCGTGGTTCGCGTGTGCAACGATCTCCCTTCGATTAATCGCGACGCGACTCTTGGAAACTTATTCGATAAGGATACTGGAGTCATTGGAAATTTTCAATCCACCTGGCTATGCAATCGTCGTTGACATTGAAGAATTGGACGCACGTTGTGGATCGATCTCGTGATTTTTGATGCGTCCGAGATGTTTGATGAGAGGAAAGGTTGCGGAAAATAGTCACAGCGGTGGTTGTACGTTTATATTTCGGTAACAGGACGCGACACTTGACACTTGGAGGAAAAATTGTTCTCCGTAGAAAATTTTCTCCGTTGAAAAATTTTAAAATTTTTCTACTTGTCTAAATGTTGCGAATAATATTGAACGATAAGGATTTACAAAAATTGTGTAATTAATAAAGACAATTACAGAATGTACAATAAAGAGGGTGTTTAACAATTCTTAAAGATCTCACGATCTTGAATCGAAGAAGGATATCAAGATTATGTATCGAATTTAAATATTTAACGACGACGAGGTTCGAATTTTATGAATCTATCTATATCACGAGGAAGAAAAGGAAAACCGATACTTTCGTATAATTTATAAAACGTTGCTCGTCTGTAAAATTACTGTGAAACGGATTATGAAACAGTAGCGATCGTCAATATTCTAGAACGAGATCCACCGTGGAGATACGTCGCGATGTCGTATTCTTCAGGCTTTTCGTTTCCTCGCTGACACACGATTACTCCATTCATCGCGGTGAATGTATTACGATAAGGCTGGCGACGCAGCGTGTCGCACGATGTAGATGCAATCGGGATATCTACGTTTTCTAATGTAAATCCAACGCGTTGTCAGCATTTATAACGTGAGCCGGCTCTGTATTCGCGACTCGTCTTCCAAGCGCCTCCGCGATCGTTCTAATTGTTTACGATCGTTCGTGCCTCGATGACTTTTATGACGATCGTATTCGAGTTCGTTTATCCTCTGGTCTTCGTTCTTCGTTGCTTCCTCGAAGGCTGCCGACTTCGAAAGCATCGAATAAAAATGCCAACGAATCGTAACAAAATTAGGAAATATTTCATCGTGCGGCGTGTGTTGAGAAATTTGGAAAAAGTTTGGAGCTTTTATCTTTTTTCTTTACACGAGATAAACTTTTCTACACAATCTTTAAAGAGATATTGCGACTGCAAGTTTTAAAACAGAGTTAATCATAGCTTTCGTACTTTGAAACAAAATTGTTCGATCGTCAAATATAAACATATTCGTTTAGAACTACCAAAATGGCCAAAGTGGCCAAATTTTTCATTTTTGTTAGAAATTTTATACGTGTGAAAAACGGTATATTTTCCGGAATCTAAATTATTCGTAAAATGTATTATAAATATAACAAAAGCTTGTACATTCTATTATTGTAGTACAAAGTTTTTCTATTTTCTTCTTTTTTTTTTTCTTTAGTAGGTCACTTTAAATTTGCCTCACGTTGAATTTGTTAAATTCATCGAAATCCATTGAACTCGCTGCGTCTACGAATCGTCCCATTAAAATGATTTAAGAACGCGACTCGCGCAGAAATGAAATTCACCGCAGCGTAAAGAACGAACCCGAATCTCGGACCAACTCTCCTATTGCTCTGTCTGATCAATAACGTACCAATTCCCCTACAATCTCCCGTCCACTTTTTAACGCTCGATTTTACCTCCGACCGCGCGCTCCACAAACTCCAGTCGACAAACATTCGAGCATCGCGTTTTATTCTCTCTTCGTCCCCACGGTGGATACCCCGTTGAAACCGGAATTTAACGTCCGAACCGAACACAAATTTTAATTTACAGACGAACAGAATGCGCGTATTGTACACAGGCAGAGATATCGGCTCTCCACGATTCGATTGCAGGATCCGCGACGCGGAAAACGCGTGGCAGAGAACAATCAGATCTGTCGCCGAGAGCGAGAGAAACCAGAGCGTCTCGAATAACCAATACGAGGAGAAACCGCAACGCGACGCTGCGACGAAGAAAAGACAACACACCGTCGACCTGGCTAGACGATGGTCTGCCACGGATCAAGTGGCGGAGACCAATCAACGGATTTCTACTGATCCGGTGCGCACGACTGGCGACCCATCGCGATTATAACGCATCGCGTGCAACCCGCGTTCACCGTCGCCAGCCCCCCGATTATACCTGTGTGCCAGACTACGCGGACTACAGGTTGTTTCAGAGGTCGAACAGAGGATTCCTCCAATACACGACGATGGAATTGTTAATAATTTCCCAAGTGAAATTTTCTGTTTGTTGAGAGTACCAATTTTCTGAGAAACTGTCCCCTCCTCTTTTTGCAAACCAACATAATGCGACTCTTTGTAAATCTATCTAGCCGAAATCTTTGTAAATCTATCAAAGATGCCTGTCTAATAAAATAAGGTACAAATAAGGCAGTTATTGTTTTAGGAAGTTCTTTTTACTTCAAATATATCAAATACCTTCCTGAAGCTACTTTCGTAACGTAAGGTGATAACAAATTTCCTAATAAATACAAAAATTTACCCTGCCAAGTAGAAAAATTTCTATCTATTGAGGATATTCATCAGCCGAGTGTGCTTGGGGGCTACTTCGTTAAATCAACAGACTACTGAAAATTATAACGCTCTCGACCGAGTCTCTCTGTCTTGCTATTCTCTAGCATCCCCTACCTGATCCTGATGTTCTTCCACTGTCTCTCAGAGACATCGCTACACCGATTGCCAACATCTCACCTCCCTGTCATGTGTACACACCCGGACGTGACATTTTATGAAACAGCCTGTGCAACGTGACGATGATTCTCGCGGTGGTGGTGCGCGTACACGAAGCCGGGGGTGTACAGTTATAGGTAACCCGGTCCGGTAATTGCCGGTAACGTCCGGAGAGGTCCAGATGCTCCCCAATCAGCGTGTGGCGGTCCAGCACCGGCTACCTCCTGGTCTCGCCTCCTCCTGCAACTATCTGCGCTCCTCTTACGCCACGGGACACATGTATGCGTGAGCGTACGCGCGAGCAACCCGAGAGTCCCGTGACCGTGTTGAGAACGGCCGGTTAGCTCCTGACCATACGCATGGCAGCACCGTTTAATTGGCACTGGACACAATGGATTATGGAATGGTGCCGGTCTACCCTACCGTCCACCCACTACCACTGACCCTGCACTTCATGTCAAAACCATTTCGCTTGTTTTACGTACGGAAAGTGCCACCGATAATACCCTCTGCCTTCTCTCTCTCTCTCTGTCTCTCTCTGTTTCTCTCTGTTTCTCGATCGGAGGGTGTTCTCCATTCTATTTCATCTCGGCTTTTTGTTGTACGTTTTGTATTTAGTATCTCCTTTCTCCTGTCCTTTTCGGAGTACATTTCGCGCTTCGTTTGCCCCCTTCGAGAAGAATGGGGATTTTACGGGCGAAGGGGTGAGAACAGGTACTGCGTTCAATTTTAATTCTTTGTTTCTTTCTTTTTTGTGGCGCGAGGAAGCAAAGTTGGATACGTCTATAATCTTTCGTACAAGATCTTGCGTTTCTAAATGTCAAAATGTTGAATGTTGTTTCACATTCGGCGACCACTGTCGATGGTTACGCAACAATTCAAAATAGTCGGAACAATTTGGTGAAATAAGATATTGAGTTGAATATAGTAAACGAATGGAATTATCTAACGTTGTTACGTTATTTTTCTTCGTTCACACTACCAATGTTTTTGTTATATACATTTCTACATAAATATCATAATTCTATCAATCACTCGATAGAAAATACTTGCAGCTGTCGAATATTATTTACTATTGATTGAAACTTCTTAGTGTGAACTCTGTCTGAACATTTCACTAAGTTACTTCAGATCCAACATCTTTCTAACAAACAATACGCGTTTCTTTAACCACTTGCGCTAGCAACCAATTACGGACCATAACGAGTGACCAAACCGTATACAATAATTCGTCGCTATCTTTTCGAACTTGTCTGTATAATATCACTGAATAGAAATTATTAAAAAGTAATAAAATTATTACTTGTTTCACCTGTGTTACATTTAAATATACTTAAAACTGAGAAAATGTCGCGATTTGGGACGAAAAGATTCTCGACATGCGTGGCACGTCATTCCAGCACAAGAGGTTAACTAAAAAAAAAAACGAATTTAACAACGTTAGAAAAAAACCTGACCCAACGCTGTCAATCCAAATGACGAAAGCTTCGAGCCCCTAACTACCAAACAATTCGGCAAAAGACTAACAAAGGATTACCGCGGCTCTCTTCAAGAAGATATCTCCTACATCCTCGGAGATCACGAATCTCTGACAAACAACACGCTGATACAGGATAGTATCCTGATTCGTTGGTAAATGCTCCGAATAATCCGGAGTCGGGATACGTTTCCAGCATTCAGGCGACGATAGCAATCACGACAATGAGGAACGCGATGCTTTCTACGCCGGTGGGGGAGGGCGTTTCTTTCAGGGCCTTCGAGAGTCCCTCGCCTCGTGTCACTGCAATTTCGTCTCGCCGGCGAAACAGACGGGGAAACAATAAGAGGAGCAGCCGGGGACAGGGAATCGTTACAGTTAGAAATTCCGTCTAATAAAACGCGCGTTCGTCGATATCCTGTCTCGTGACGCGGCAATAACAAATAAATGTCAAAAACGCGGGGGGGAGAGGGGGACAGAGGGGAACGGAGAATGGGAGGTGGGAGGTATCGGGCGAATTGACGCGAACGAGTTTGCTTCGGGAAACACTACATTTTCGATATCAATCACGTACGAACGGGCGCGATGCGTCGACGAATTTTTCTTTTAAACCTTTTCAAACCCGTTCCCGGTTTGCACTGCAGCTTACGAAACGCGGCCATTTTTTTTTCGTTTTTTCAAACCAACGCTTTCTTCTCTTTCTCTGCTGTTTTTTTTCTTTTTCTTTTTCTTTTTCTGTATCATTTCCTCCGTCTCTCTTCTTTGAACGTTCGTGTCTTTTCGGCAAGAGATTCAACAGATCGTTTTCATATAATGTCGTTCCCTTCAAGTTTAACAAACATTTAACAAACATCTAGTAACAATAATTTAACATACTACAACATGATCTATATTTTAATTAAATACACTGAAATTTAGTGTGACTTGTCGTTAAATTGTATTGACTCTTAAATAAACTAAAATTTTCCACACTATCGAAGAACGACGTTGTGGGTATCCTTAATACATATTCCCAGAGGTCGAGACGCGTTTCAAGACGAGATCGAGGAGAAGACTGATCGTTCAGAGAGTTCATCGACGCGAGGACTTTCCGCCTCGGCGTGGCATCGGAAAGCAGTAAGCGTCTTAAATTTATCGCCGAGACTATTCCGACGCCGCGACGCGTCCAGGCGGTCGAGGATAAAGGAACGCCGCTCGCCACCCCTCGGGGTCGAGGGGTCGAGAGTCAAGGAAAATAATAAAAATAGACAGTTACGGTTAAAGCACGGTAGACTGACCCTCGACAATCGTCGTTAGCTATATTTCGAGAGAGTCTCATTACGCGATTCCTGAATCCCGCTGTTCCCTTATTTCTCGCATCCTCCCCTCTTCTCTCCACCCTCCTCTTCTATCCTCAGCCCAGTGTCTCTTCCTCCGTCGCCAGTGTCTTTTCACTTTTAACGCGAGCCTTCGCCTATAAAACTTCGACCTCTTCCTGCTCCAGCCTCGTTACCGGACACGAGCACGAATCCTCGCGAGACCAAGACGCGGCGACGTTGCATCGTCGAGGATAGGGAAAGAAAGGGCGAGCAGATCGCATTTTCGAGCAAATCGCTCGAGATCCCTTATCGGCGGCGATCGTCTCTGGTCGTTTGCACTTCCGACGCCGGAATGGACAAGATTTAGAAATACTCTCGCTCTTTTTTTTATACTCTTTCTTTCGTCTCAGACTCTACTTCGGACCATTTCCAAGTCGAAAGATTTCTCAACCCTCAAACACTATCATTGGGTTATGTACGATTACAATAATTTATATTAGAAATTAAAAAATCGAATCACTTAATCAACATGAAATTATTGTAACTTTGGTAACAATGGAAATTAAATTGTTTTAAAGAAAATATAGAACAGTGATAATATAATTGGTAGCTTCGGACCATTTTCAACCCTCAATATCATTAAGTTATGTACGATTGTAATAATTTATATTAGAAGTAAGAAATTGAGTCATTTAATCAACATGATTATTATTATAACTTTCAGTGGTACCAGTTGGAAATTGAATTGTTTTAAAGAAGATATAGAACAGTAATAATATAATTGGTAGATTCGGGCCATTTTTAATCCTCAAGCAATATCACTATGTTATGTACGATTATAATAATTTCTATTAGAAGTAAGAAATTGAGTCATTTAATCAACATGATTATTATTATAACTTTCAGTGATACCAGTTGGAAATTAAATTGTTTTAAAGAAGATATAGAACAACGATAATATAATTGGTAGCTTCGGACCATTTTCAACCCTCAAACACTGTCACTATAATAATTTACATTAGAAATAAAAAATTGAATCACTTGATTAACAAGAAATTATTATAACTTTCAGTTGGAAATTAAATTGTTTTAAAAAAGATATGAAACAATAACAATATAATTGGTAACTTCTTACTATAGAAAATAGGGAAATTTTGTAGCAGTTCGAAGACTACTTTCGTAAATTACGAATTTGCGAAGTTACAAATAATATCAACTTTGTCCTGAATGCTTCTCTACTCATCGAAACAAGGATGAAACTGAGCCATAAAAAAAACTTAGAAATACAAGGAAATACAACAGGATCGAGAATCATTCGGGAAATGTAACAGCCGTAACGCTCGTACGCGCAGATAATATCATGCAGCAAATTACAAGCATTCCCACATGCCAGAGGACACAGGCCGAAACGCAGTCGACGAATTGGATAATTTATTACATCGTCCTGTAATTATGTTATTCCAACCGGAGCATCTCCCATTCCCGGCCGTTATTTCGCTTATATTTTACGGGGCCGCAATTACACCGAGAAAATAATTAGCGAGCTCGAGGCGCGCACGCGTGCATTCTCTCGCGTTTAACGATTTCACAGACGTTTTGCCATGTTTCGTCACAGGCTCTTACAAAAGTACTTGTTCCAGCACACCGTCGGAAATCTTGCAACACGAGTTCGAATAATTCGAAGAACTTCCGTTTTTTTCCAGCATCGCCGAAACTCGAAAGAAAATGAAATGACGAAAAGAAAAAAAAAAGGACGGGCTTCGAATTGAATCACAAATTATTAGATCGACAGTAATAATTTACGTGAAATTACTAAAATTTAGGATATTTAGAAACAGAGGTACGATTAACCTTTTCTCGTTTCATTATTCTAGAAAATTATCCTTACAAACTTGTACGAAACGCATCTCCCCCGAGAGAAACC